ATGTCTGAGTGAAAGGAGAAATTGACTTGTTGAGACTTGAATTTCTGCTCAGCGACGCTAGAGGGAGCCAGTGGTGCACTGTAAAAAACGAGGCCCCCCTCAACACAGCATAATAATTAATAAAATGAGCGCTTTCCTGTGTGTTTACCTTTGTGTCATACGCACTTCTCATCATTGTCAAGTGGAAGACGTGGTAGAAATATGAAAAGCATGGCGTGCTGACATTCCTGCTAAAAGTCCAGTGCAAAATCACTGTCGTCAGAAGAAGGTTCATTAGAGACAATTAGCTATTAATCGTTGTTATGGGTCTTCTAGGCGATCACCCAGGGCGGCATTAGAAAGGAGGATGGACATGCATAAGATTAAAAAAGAAAGTACAGTCAATGCGCCATACAGCTTGAAAGATAATTTAATTTCCACCAGAGGGCGCTGCTGCACCAAAGGATGCCATACCTTGACAGGTTGTTTTTTTTTGTTCTGTCAGAACATCACGGAGTTCCTCTTCAGAGAGCTTGAAATTGCAGATTTTTGAAGAAGCCATAATTAATCAGCTTATCTGTAAACAGTTGTGATCCTCTCCAAAGTCGGTTTCCCGCTAGTTTGAGCAGTGATTGCTTAGCTGAGGAGTTCTGACATTATTGCCATTTGATTTCGCCACTCTTTTGGCATCACTCCCCGACACAGCAGACGACTATCAGACCATCTGCACGATTAGACGCAGCCCCAGCGCAAGTCTGACTTCGCCTGGAAAACCCCCCCAACAAATAAACACAACGGCACATGCCACATTTGAATGAGGCTTGCCTCAAAGTGAAGGCCTGATGACTGATGACTGAGATTACTCCGGTGCCAGGCCTTTTTTTTGTGTGTGTTTTGCGCCTCTTGATTATTGCAGACACACGCCAGGGTCGTCAGCAGCTGCCAACACCCGCGTAAACTCCTAAATATTAGGAGGGGGAGAAAAAGTTGCCTAGCAAAATAATGAAGCTAAGGTCAACGGGTTGGATTCCTGCCTGGAAAGAAAGAGAGTGTTAGGTTTCTGTGACTGCAGCTGCATTGGTGTGGATGTAAGCTGCAGGAGCTTTGGTGATACAGGACTGGACATGTTTCCTTGAAGCTTGGTTGCTGATCTGCTACATCATTCATTAGTACTCTCTCATATGCAGCCACTTATGGATTTGATTTCATAACGATAACATTTAGCAACCTCATTGTGTTGTTTTCCTCTTGTGAAGCAGGTTTGCTACAACACCGCCAACAGACAGACTCCATTTTTTCGTGCTTCTCTGCTATTATTTTATTCAAAACCTCAGTAGGTGGAGGACCATAGGGGGATGCTGAAGGGATTTTTGCAATTAATATTTTGGTTTTGTTCTTACCGGTGTGTTCCTCGCTGCCTGCAGCGTGCCTCAAGGCTGCACAGCAATGCGACATGGGCCAAACGCTAAAATGCATAACAATTCTGATGGAAGGCTCTCTGAATATGATCACAAACGCACATGGTGGCTGACTAGCAGTGGCTTATATTGTATCACCTTTTCTGCGACGGCATATCAGGGAAATTGTAGATCAGAAAAAGAGGAGTCCATTTCTGTCAGAAAAAAGCACGGGCATTTTTAGGTTAATCTCAGAAATTTTCTGGAAATTTTATTTTTCAGATTTCAAAAGTTGCAAAGTTTTATCTTTGAGAAGGTTTCTGAGTTTTTAGATCATTTCTGAGATTAACCTCAGAATTTCAGAGTCTGTCTGCATAGATTTCCCGTCTCTTTTTTGTTCCGTCTCTGATAGCATCAGTTGCCGAAGATTAATCGGATGAAAATCTTTATCATTAGCCGGTGCCATATTATGTTTTTTGACAGCAGGAATCCCATTGCATCAGGTGAACATTCGCTATAAGGTCTGTTCACATTCCCCTCTGTGAGGTCTTTCCGCCTCGATGGAGAGCGAAGCTTCTCGTTGAAACAGTAATTTAGGGTTTTAAGCTGTCAATCTTTTGCAGCGTTTATGTTCCGAGGGAGAATAAAAATAACCGCAACCCCAAGGAATACATGACATTAATAAATCTAAAGATCTATTAATTTGGGGCATTTCAAACTAGTCTTACATGTCAAAAGCATGTTCATGCTACACGTTGCGCGTGATGTTAACGATTTAAAAATGTTAAAGAGAGTAGATGCGGTGGTACAACTGTGCATTAACATTTCACGCGTGTAAAACGGCACATTTTTATGACAAACGTAACTTTTTTCTCGAGTGCAGTCCGACCTGTGGGCCTAAATTGTAATATTTTGTTACGGCATTTGTTAGAAAGGCTATTGTTAATCTTTTTTCAATTTTCAAAAAGGCAAAAATTATGGCTCGCCTACAAGTAAGCGAGACATAAAAGCATAGGTTTTTCACTTCTAGTTTTTAAAGAAAGGAAATGTGTGCATCCATTGTTTTCTTCCTATTATTTTAGAAAAGAAATTGCAGTTGGTTGGACACATTTGTTTTCTTAACGCTCAAGGAAACTGGAGGCACTCTTATCTTGCCTTCAGCTTTCAGTTTTCAAGGAAGGCCAACGAAGACGCTTTGCATGAACGGCCATCACGTTTCGCACCAAAATCAGTTAAATAAACAAAAAAAAAAAAATCAAAATTAAGTTTATGTGTCAAAAATATTTCCGCCATAACCGACTGGAATTGTAGTCCAGTCTTCCGGTTCTCCGTTGGAACACGGCGGAACTTGTCGGAGCACACGTTCTGCTCTCCTTGCTGATTCGACTAACCTTGGAAATGCATGAACTGGTGTGACAGTGAAGAACCACAGATGGGGGCCACCTTCTCCTTGGTGCCATAACTATAGGCTTAAAACATGTGTATTATGTTGTAAAAACAGTAGTTAGGCCAAGGGACGAAGATACCCAGAGGGCTTATGGAATATCAAAGAGATAAGTGGTTGCTTCCTCAGTTTTATAGAAGAAAGGCTTGCTCTTGTGTTCTTTATGGCCCACACCTGTTTAGAAGAAAACAAAGACAGAGGAGAAAAGGGGACTGAAGTCTGCTCTTTACTACAGTTATGACTCTGTGTTTACATCCTCACACTCTCAGAACCACCACATTCACTGATTTGCATACTCCGAAAGTCCCATAATTGCAGGGTGCGTTGGAAGTATGACAGATTGGTTATAAATCCGCTTGACAAAGTAGCACAGCTTTAGCGCGCAGGCACGCAAAAAGCGCTGCCGAAAGTCGAACGAGCCTCCAGTCTCTCCCCGCTATGGAGCTCCAAAGCAAGAATCCACGTTTTTGCCTAAACGGTGGACAGAAAGGGAGCAGAGCGAGATTTAAGGGCTATCGTTTAAGGAGAGCATTCTTGAGTGACGGCTGACCTTTTCCTTCTTTCTGAAAAGCGAGGGAAATAAAAAATGCTCCCTTTCACCCTGGTTGCTGGGTTATATGGCTTCAGCTGCAGACTGCAGGCTGCAAACAGCAGCAAGAATTTTCCAAATGAGGGCCAAATATAAAGTTTGATCTGTCACGCCGAAACAGCCTCATTTGAACTTTAATGAGTATTGTTGCTCATTCGAGGAAAAGCTTGGACAAAGGAACATTTCTGATGCTGTTCCACAAGTGCTGATAGTCTATATTTGCTTAATTTGAAACATATTTAGAAAACAAAAATTTAACTCTTGTCATTTTTCACTTTAACGTTTAATCTGCAAACCTAAGTGTCATTTAAGGATTTCATGTTGTAATCAAATGACAGGAGTTCAAATATTTTTCACAAATAAAAATGTGAAAAGTGTGGTGTCCACTGAATTTCAACCCTGTCTACTCTGACTGCCCTAAATATAATAAAAGGAATATGTCAAATTCCAATGGAAAAACACAATGAATCGATTAATTTGATGAAAGGATTGATATTTTTTTTTTTTTAAAGAATCAATACTAGATACATTAAAAGATGCAAATAAATAAATAAATTCATTTGTTGGACAAAGAAACAAACATTTTATTTATTTCAATCCAGTAACGTCATTCTTTTACTGAACTTTAGTGAAATATATTTCTAAGCTGTTTCTGCTCCACTTAAAGTCAATACAGTGTGTATATGAGTGAATGTTTTTGGGTCAACATCTGGATAGCACAGGGTGTTAATAGAAGATTTATTCATTTATTTTTTCCTGAATTTGAACCAAATGAAGCTAAAACAGCCGCATGAAAAGTTCTGGGCAGAACATGAAACATTTTTATAGGCAGTTTTTTTTTATTATTATTTTTTTAAATTCTTTACATTTTATTTCAACATTTTTGGTCTAATTACTGCTCCGAGTATGCTGTTCTTTTAGCAAAACGTCTTTTCTTGAATCCCTATACGCCGTCTAATGATTCATCGGCATGATGCTGCCACCACCATGTCCCACTGTGGAGCTCACATGAGAACATAACATGTACTGTAGAATAGAATAGAAGAATAGAATAGAATAGCATTTATTGTCATTGAACAGGATTCAACAAAATTTCTATTGCAACTCCCGTGCAAAAAGTCAAATATATACAATATTAAATAAACAAACACACAATAATAATAATATATACAACTAAAATTAACTAAAGGCACTCAACCAAACCAAAGAAGTAATGTAATTATGTAATTATATTAAAAACGGTTTCCATTCTCTCTAAAATCCTGTACATTATTCCCAAATAAGTTCTGCTCTGATTCCATCCAGTTGATGGAGGTAAACACAACAGCAGCTCCCCGTTAAGGGTTTTTTAAAAAAAAAAAATTTTTTTTGCTGCTATTGTCATACAGACCGGATTAAAACATCTGGTCTGCATGAAAACATGAGAAGAAAACGATGAATGCACATTCTTGATGAGGAACTTTTTTTTCTTATTCTTCCTCCACACCCCACGCTCCGCTGAAACGTTTGTGAGGCAGTGGGAGAGTTTCAAGAAGAAGAAGGAGGAAAAAAAAGGGGCTGGACCTTCTTTTTATTTAACTTCAGGATCACAATGACTGATATTGAGGGAGTCCCATGAGAAACGGAGTGAGCTCCCAACTTTCTTCCTTTTCTTTCTTTCTTTTTTTGAATTAATAATTTTTTTTATTCAGCTACTGATTCTGCTGGAATTAGTGTGTGGTCCCTAGTTTGGCTGCAGATTCTCAGCTAAGGTCCGACATCTGGAGGATCCCAAATAACCTGCAGATGGAAACCTGAATGAAGAGGTTCTCCTTTGTCATCCTGGAAATTTTCCATTACTGACAGGAGAGCTTAAAGAGTGGAGCAACATTGGAAGGTATGCATCCCTAATGTTTCTGAAAACCTTTTTACTTATACCGAAATCAAAGTTCTGACTTTTTATGTATTTATTTATCATTAATCGTTTTTAAATCTCCATGTTTGCGCTCAAAGCCCTCGGAAGAAAGTCATGGTTCCCTCTATGCACTGGCTGCTCCTGCTGTGGAGACTTCAGGCTGTGTGGGCTCAAGACTATGAAGAATATGAAGATGAGGTTGTGACCACAAGGAGGAAAAGCAAACTCTTCACACCAAATTCCATACCACAGAATGGCAAATGTAAGTTTTCCTCAGAGGTTGCTTCCCTCATTTTTTTTGGGGGGGAGAGAAGAAAAAAAAAGGGATGGGGATGTTGTCAAAAAAAAAATGCTCATAGTGAAAAAGCTGAACCTGATACTCAAGCAAGGACATTGCTGGAGGAGGCAGCGCACGTGGATTGATCATATCTCTGCTCTCCAAGCAATCCATCTCCAGTGTGACCGCTTAGTGCTACGTTACCCAAATGTTTTATTCACTCAGAATCCTGTTTCCTCGGGCACATTGTCTCTCTCTGACATATTAAGGCGAAGATTAATGTGGCTTATCCTCAGCCTCTATTACGTCTACGGCCTCCTCCCGCAGCAGCAGAGTGACGCTCGGAGCAGTTTGTCTTGAACACGAAGACCTGCATTGATAAACTCACGGCGTTCTGAGAAATGTTGCAGAATCCGAACGGACAGCGAGTCGCCAGCAGTTGCAATGATTTTGATCGCAAACCTGACGGGAAATTAAAGTGGCGGACAAGTTGTAGATGGAAGGTTGACAGTCTGAAAAGAAAAGTTTGTCATAAAGCCAAAGCTATGCTGATGGAAAATGAAAACCGGTTAAGGTCGGTGTTAACCAATTAGGTGCTATGCGACAAAAGTAATCCTCCACCTTGTAAAGTGATTATTTATCTGTGGTTAACCGCATAGTTTTACACTCCACTCTCAAAACTGATGGCACCCTGCAATGGAGATTCAAGAAACTAGCTTGACAACATGAATCGGGCTAAAATATCTCAAAAAGCCCAATGTCTTTCTGTGGCATTCCGCTCGATTCTCATCTCCCTTCGCTGCTCTGTCTGGAATTTCTCCCATTGAGCTCATTTTCACCTTTAGAATTTCAACGGGGCCAATCAGATGAGAACAATTTTCCACCCTGTTTTTGTTGGAGAGTTGTGACAACTACATTTTAGCACATTAAATTACAAATAGGATCCTGAAAAAGGTATCACTTTGACAATCTTAGCTGAACAAAACCAAAGTGTAAGAACTTTACACATCACTTAATTTGTTTATCTGAATAGCTAACAGTTTCTACTTGAATAGCTAATAAAATTAGCATATACTGAGCTCTTTTAAACATTTGGAACTAAACAGTTTTCATAAGTTCAAGTTTTTATTTGTTGCTCGCGCATGTTTATTAAATGCTAACTGTGCTTTTTCCATTTTCAGCTTCTATCGATGAAGACTGCAGTTTGGAGTTGGCCTTCCTGGTTGACAGCTCAGAGAGCGCCAAGGACAACCACGAACAGGAGAAACGTTTTGTTTCCGACGTAATGGACCGACTGCAGGGCCTCCGGCTGCAGAGCGGCCGCGGACTCAGCTCCCGTGCGGCCCTCCTTCAGTACAGCAGCCAGGTCAAGATCGAGCAGACCTTCAGAGACTGGAGGGGCATTGAAAACTTCAAAGCCAGAGTCGCTCCCATTCAATACATAGGCCACGGCACCTACACCACCTACGCCATCACCAACCTGACGCGCATTTACTTGGAGGAGTCGGGCACCAAAAACATCAAGGTGGCCGTCCTGCTCTTCGACGGCATCTCGCACCCAAGGAACCCAAACATATTTGACGCTGTGGAGGATGCGAGGAACCAAGGCGTTCGGTTCTTCACAATAGGAATCACACCTGAAGCCAACGAAGCAACCAACATTGCACAGCTGCGTCGAATTGCTAGTTCCCCGCCTACCCGCTACCTTCATAACTTGCAAGATCTTGGCATTGTGGATAAAGTCATCAAGGAGATTGTGAGTAAAAAATTAGTTTACAATCGAACCACAAAAAAGCCGTGTAAAATGAGAGTCTTAGATTGAAGTTGGAGTTTTAGAGAGTCAGGTTAAGACCTTACTTCTTGTTGCTCTTTTGCATGCTAAGTTCAGGGTAATTGGAGTATTTCCTAGCTTAGTATAATAAATTTACAGGAATGATGGCACAGGTTATGGCTCTGCACCAAAACCTCAAATGCCATCTAATGATTTCATTAGGCTGACAACTGAGTTTTGTTCCAGACAGAAAAAAATAACAGGTAGCTCATTTACACGCACGCACGCACGCACGCACACACACACACACACACACACACCCTACACACACCGACCAGACACAATTTCACACCCACTTTCCACTTGCTCTACAGACTGGCTGAATGTGTCAAAAAATCTTCAATGACCACTCAACAAAGATCTCAGTTAAAATTGCGTATACACACTACACAACTCTAAATATAATGACCGGACTATCTCTCAACATTAACAGGACAAAGATAATTAGATAGATAAGCCACGCCTCTTGCATAAGGATACACTATAAGTACCAATGAGCATTCCAAGGACAATTAAAATAAGACTTCAAAGAATGTCCCCAAAATATATTAAAGTACCAAAATGAGCATCAAATGGTATTTAATCCACACCCTGCAATAATGGTAGTGTTCATTTGTCATAAACACAGGCACAGACTACAACAATCTGAGTCCAAATATGAAAAAATCAAGAAGAAATATGGTCAGCAATATAGTGCTAGTTCATTACCAATAAGGTAATGTTCAGACCTACACAAATGAAAATGTATTATGGAATAAACAAACGACATTGTCTTTTGCTATTTTTATTTTTGGAGCAAACCAAAACACAAGCTCTTAGACAGACTTACTAGAACAATTTTGCATTGCTTTTTCATCAACCTGAAAATCAATCTTCTGAATTACTTTGAAAATGATTAAGAGTTCAAGTTTTGTTCAGTCTATTCACACAACATCAGTCTTGGACCAACTTAGAAATCAGAACACATTATAGAAACTGCAAAAATAAACAAGCAAAAACCCCAAAAAAAGGTTGAACGTTCTTAAGGTTTTGTTTAGAACATCTAGGCTGAAGATTTATCTGACATTTTAGCTTTTTCTTTTTTCTTTTTGGACACACCACGATTTCTAACAAAGTCTCTTATGTTCTGAAGTGAGCGATTTATTAAAGCAGGATGTTCTGCCTGTTGACACTGTTGAATTTCAACTAAAGTTGCCAGCTTCCAGTGTCGATGTGTTTCTGAAAATGTTTCAACACTGCTGCAATTTCTGTAGGCGACCAGGGCCGTTTTTGATTTCTCCGAGGATGGTCCTTTTCAGGAAAATCTACAAACAGAGACAATTTTACTCTTTAAAATATAAATCATATGTAGGAATCTGCTATAAAAGTATGCTTGTGATAAAGTTTTACATTCAGTTCTGTTTATTGTGTCATTAAAGACAACCCTTTGACAATTAGATTTCTCAATGTGCATTTAGTCACCACATGAATCCTATATGTATCCACTAAAATTATTTTCTCCAATTTTCTTTTAATTATTAAATTGATTACCAAGTTGTGATACACTGTATTTATTACACTTAGAAATTATGAAGCTACAGGCCTGGCACGTCAAATATGAACTATCACTCAAAGCTTCATTTTATATTATGCTGCAAGCTTTATGACCCTGTTGTTATAGAACCAGGTCATGCTTATCATTCATATCAGTCCGGCGGTAATAGGCGCTTAAATTCCGTGACAGAAAAAAAAAACACTTGGTATTTTATTCTATGTTGCATGACTTTGTGTTTATGATGTAAAGCGCTTTGGAATATCTTGTACCTGAAATGTGCTATACAAATAAAATTTTATTGATTGATTGATTGATTCTGTCCTGTCCATTCTGATTTTAAGCAATTTATTACTTGATCATAATCAGCAACTAACTTTGTAAGATTGTTTCAGCTTTATTTTTTAAAAATTGCACAGTCCCAACCCCTTCTCTGCATGTTCTTACTGGTCTTTTTAAAGCTCAGGATAATACTCAATTATTGTAATATGTTATGATGAGCCTTAAAACAGTATCTCTAAACCGTACCACTAAGTTAAAAAACCACTATGAATAGGAAGACAGTCATACCATCTTGGGGTTCTGAGGGTTTTTCAGTTGGTGGTGCAATAATCTCCGTTCCCTTTCCTACAATACATTAGTAATACTTCAGGTCAACAAATTAAAAGATACAAATTAAAAATAAGTCACTAAATGCCCAATGAAAGGTTAATTGAAATAAGTCATACCAGAAGAGGTCCCAGGAATTCAACAGGAATTGAGGTTTTCTGCATCCTGTCAAATTAAGAGATACAAAACAAGTTGTCTGTTATATTAGTCTTATCTGCACAGAAACCTAACCTTTAGCCAAAATTAAAGCTCAATATTATAATGTGCAATGATTACTATGTTAAGTTATTGAAACTAAATTATTAACCGTGAGGTGGAGGGAGGGTTTTTAAGGTAGTCATATCTTCTACTGTGCCTGACGGCTTCTCAGTAGATGGCATAGAGGATGTTCTCCCTAGAATATAGCATAAACACTCCAACAATGTTGTCAAGGAGGGTAAAGAAAAACCTTAAGAAATGCCAAAATCTTCTAGCAATGTGTAATCAAAATTTAAAGAAAAACAAGGTACCTTGTGATGTCTCTTCTCCTAAACCATCTGTAATTGGATAAGTAAACAGAACACACCTGAATGTCTAATTTTAAAAACATGTAATATTACATCAGGCATGATGATTGATATTCATACCACCAGAAGATTCATTAGATTCTTGATTTGTAGAGCATTGAGTATCATTTACAAGTGGGGACGGGTCACAATCAACCTCACTTTGTCCACTTTCAGTGTCAGTCAGTTCCAAACTCATCTAAAAAAGAAAAATCGAAACCAGTTCAGTAACAAATAAAAACGTTAACCCAAACAAGTACATAGAATTTTGAAAAGTACCTTCAATTTCGATCTCCTCCAGTGTTTTGCCTTGCAGATTTGCCAAAGTCCCCCTTTCCATTGCCAGAAGCAATTTAGAAATTTTTGCCAGTTGAGTCGTAGCCTCTGGTAGCCTGTAATACTCTCTATGAACACGTAATATCATGTCCCAGAAAGTCTGCAACTTGGTCCAGTTCGTGATTTCGTAGGTTTAACACTTGGGACAATGTTGCAACATGCTTGCGAAGTTGCGTTGATCTTAGAAGTTCAGGTTTTGGGCACCACTGTCATTTGCATAAACCCTCAGACAGTCTTGTCCTCTGTAAGGGGTTAGACAGTTGGGTCTAGCAAAAAGAAAGGTGTTATTGTCTGGCACTCCACATTCCTTTCTTCTGCTAATGAGCTGGATGATGGCTTGAACCATGTCTGGTGATAAAAGCACAGCAACTTTTCGTCCCCTTTTCCCCTTTATTTCTACCCTGCTGAAATGGGCACAAAGTTGTTGTTCAAATGCTGTAAGACCAACTGCAACATCTTTATGCAAGGAGTGGTGTCCCTCTCTAGAAAGGCAGACAGCTGCATTTTAGAACCTCTCCACCTCGTCTTCGGTTGAACAAAATGATTTTTGCCAATGTACTTCTGCACAGTTCCCTATAGGCTTGTGGTAACGGATCACTTTTCAAAGTGTCAGATGCTAAATTTGCGACCTTTTCCAAATGCTGGTGAAGACGCTGAACATCCTCAGTGAAGGGCGTGGAAGGCTTGTTAAAGCGCTTGTCACTCAAGGTTGTTAAAGCTCTGTGAGAAACAAGTTCTGACCACTTTGATGAATAAAGTGATTTGAAAGCCTGACATGAATTTTTAAGCTCATCATTCCCTGATACTAAAGCTGTGCAGCATATAAGGTCACTGATCTTGTGCAACGAGTGTCCTAATTTCAAAGCAAGGCTAGGAGTTTTATATGAATGACTGTCTTCTTCAAAGCCAGATACTCTCTTGACTGCTTGAACAAGTACATGGAAGTTTGAGGGCCTGACAGCATCTTCAATGTTGTATATAGAAAACTCATTCCGGAGGATCAGCAGAAGCCTTCCAACTTCACGAATCTTTTGTCGAATATATTCATGTTTGGAGGGATCTTGACCATGTTTATTGAAAAATGATTGTGCAAGCTGTAGAATGTAAAAGTCACTTCGCACTGCAGAAGACACTTCATCATCTTTCATGACTGTTAGGAGCTTAAAAACACCTTGGGATATTTGTTGACATAGTCCAGAATCCGTCATTAAGGCCAAGCTCAAGACCCTGTTTGGTCCTGTCTCATCAGTTGTTCCTGGTCCTGTCTCATCAGTTGTTCTTGGTTTTGGATTTACATTTACGAGCATGCCGCCAAAGGTGCTTCCGAAGGTACAACCCCTGGCAAAACATGCAGTGAACATACTGGTTTATGTTATACTTCAGCTTGGGTTTACGTTTGATTTTTAGCAGTCCACTGCCACTTCTGTAAACCTCTTTGTTGTGAGTAGAGTTCCCCTTATTTCGCAACTGTGCTATCATTTTTTTTCGCAGTTTTGAGGCTTTTGGTTGTGCCAAAGCTTGAGCGACTTCAGCATTTGTCTTCTCATGGACTTTTAAGTGTCGAGCAATCTTAGACTGGGGCTTGCCACAAACAAAGCAGTAGTTTTTTCCATCTCTTGATGATGATATACTTGTAGACTGGATGCTTTCAACAGCTTCAGATCCGGTGACTGGCTCCACAGAGCTCCCTTCAGTTTGAACGTCAATGTTTTTATTTTCAGAAGACCTTTTCTTCTTTTTCTGAACAACCTTTTTAGCACGGTCTTCACTTTCAGAAATAAAACCTTCAGCCAAGTCATTCTCTGCACCATCACTCTTTTGACAGTCTGGTAAAGATGCAATGAATCCAGGATCAAGAATAGTCCCTTTGAAATGATTTGAATCATCTATTGAGAGTTCCACTG